CTATTTCAGAGGGCATCTATGGATCATCATATCGTTTCTTTGGCTTCAAGCTTATCAATAAATCAGGCCATCTGTGGAATGTAGTTTGACTCTTATCTTATTAAAAACTCATTGACTTATGTGTGGTTCAGCAATGATTCATGATTATTTAGTATGGTGATATACAACTCATCTAACTAATTCACTCCTGTATTGCAATTTAAATAGTTTAATTGTTTAATATTTCTGTATTGTTGGATGGAGATGATACGCTTGAGTTTAAGATGATTTGATGGTGGTCTTCTTGATTATATCTATTTATCTGGCCGAGGTTGTACTTCTAAGGTTGTACTTCAGATTTTATCAGCCGTTGGGATATATTATTAAATTAAATTTTTAAATACATTTTGTTCAATAAAAAATAGAAAACAGCTGTTGTAAACCCAATAATATTTTACTATTTATTTTACCATTTATGTTTTACTATATTATATAAATACTAAAACTGCCTCCGCATTTTAAAACACCACCGCACACCACTGATATATATATATATATATAAATGTAGTTTTGGTGACCATAAGAGACTTCTTTCAAAAACTTTAAAAAATCTTACAACTCCAAACTTTTAAAGGGTAATCTATAATTTTGTTCTGTAAATGTGTTCCCATCATAGTTTATGCACATATCTTATTACCAAATAAGCAAAGTATCCACCTCAACTGAGAATATGCATTGTTTTATGCACATTTTGGAATTTTTATCTTGGTGTGTCTTAAAATTATGTAAATGGGAACCCAAGTACTGTTACTTTAACTTAGTTACTGTAACTTTTGCATTTACAAATATATGCACTACTCACACATTCAGAAGTATACACACACACACACACACACACAAACAAACCTATTGAAAAGGACACAGTGGATTAGAAAAGTGAAATTGTGAATGTCATGGGTTGTGAGGGTGAAATTAGAGTAGAGCAGTGCATGACTCGTGTAGGTGGAAATTCACAGTATGGTAAGGGGCGTAATATTTCCGTCACACGCTTGAGGTATTCGGCCAATCACAACACACTGGATAGCTGGCCAATCAGAGCACACCTCGCTTTTTCAGACCGATGAGCTTTGCAAAAATCGACACGTTTCAGAAAGGCGGGGCATAGAGGAGAAACAATAATATACAGTATGTGGAAAATAATGTTTGTTTTTTTTTACCTTAAACCGCATAAACACATTTCATTACACCAAATACACAAAATAATGTTCTTTTTAGCATATCATCATATGACCCCTTTAAGTCGCTGGGGTATATTTGTAGCAATAGCCAAAAAAACATTGTATGGGTCAAAATTATTGATTTTTCTTTTATGCCAAAAATCATTAGGATATTAAGTAAAGATCATGTTCCATGAAGATATTTTGTAAATTTCCCACCTTAAATATATAAAAACTTAATTTTTGATATGCATTGCTAAGGACATCATTTGGACAGCTTTAAAGGCAATTTTCTCAATATTTAGATTTTTTTGCACCCTCAGATTTTCAAATAGTTGTATCTCAGCCAAATATTGTCCTATCCTAACAAACCATACATCAATGGAAAGCTTCAGCTTTCAGATGATGCATAAATCTCAATTTCAAAAAATTGACCCTTATGACTGGTTTTGTGGTCCAGGGTCACATATGTGTGAACACGCTGTGTTTTGCCCTTCAAGGCACAGAGGATCAGTTTGGGCTCTGTTCCAAAACCTAGTGAGCTGCTTTGCCGTTTACAGCCTACATATGCATCATAACTGAAATGAAACTCTTAAATGATGCTCTGCATTGGCAGAAACGGTGCTCCTTGCACAAAGGCTCGACCCACAATTGATTTCAAAGGAGTTTGGTGTTAGCATGATGCTAATGGCATGATAATCAAAGAAGCATAACATCCCACATGGAAAAATACTATAGTGATTTATTAAAATAAAATAATTTAAATACTAGTGTTTTTGAACCATACTATAGTAAAGTACTTGAATTAATTTGTTGTAGTAATTCTAGGTGATGTGCTAATATGACAACTATAGTAATATAAACAAATTACTTATTATTACCCAATACTGTACTAAGTTTTCTATAACTATAGAGTATATTATACTACAATACACTACAGTTTACTGTAGTAAAAAACTGAAGTGTGTTACAGTATATATTATAGCTTATCAGTTCACTATAGTTAATAGGATGCTGTAGCATTCATTAACAAAGTGTTGTAAATACTATAATATATACAGTATAATACACTTCATTATAGTATGGTTCAAAAACACTATAGTATTAATATAAATTACTATAGTATTTTTTTCATGTGGGATGTCACAGCGCACACAAATAGTGAGTGAAATAGTCAATTTTGAATTGCCATCAGAACTGTTATCTGGATAACATTCGTTATTTTATAGACCGCAACTATTTTATAGAGTTCACATCAAAACTGAAGTATACTTTGAGTTGAAGTTGGCAGTTCAGTAGGTTCTGGAAGCGTGTCAGTGTTTTCAGTAGAACATTCCTGCTACCTGCTGGCTTTCCAAAGTTCAACTCATCAAGCTGGCCAGATTCTATAAATTACAGTCCCACTTTCTCCTCGGCAACATCTCGGGAGTGTGGCATAACTGGAGCCAGGGGCTGGATTCTTCAGCTCAGTGTGAGGGGCAGGGTGGCAGGCCGGGCGTCAGCGGGTCCAGCGGACAGGAAGGAAAAAAAACTGTTGACTTGGAAATCAAGCATCTCAGAGGAGTTTGCGCAAGCAGTGAAGAAGCACATGCGGTCAGGTGGACGACATTCCACACTCAACACTGCTAACATGGGCCCGGTACAGAGCAGAGGTCAGAACAGGAAGTCCAGGAAAAAAATGTTGACTCATAAACACAGGATGCACAGAAGGCTATATTTTCTGCAGTAAAAATACGCTTATCTTTGGGTACTAAAAAAAATGCACCTTTATCTGTTCTTTTGACCTGCTATTTCAGTGAGCTGCTGTTTTTCCTTTCGAGTTTCGCACAGCTCTGTGTCAGCGGAGCCGAGTGTCAGACCTGTCAGAGATCACAAATACATTTTCATTTGCGCTCATTTGGTCAAAGAGTGATGAGTGTGTAACGGGACGGCTGAGGAATGCGGTGTGGAATTGCACTTGAGGTTCTGGTTTCTCAGGACGGAAAGAGATTTATGAGGAAGTCTCGGGTGATGGGGCGGCGGTGGTGTGCGGCTGACTCTCTCTCTTTCTCCTCCGTCTCCATAAGCTACAGGATGTGTGCACTTTACAATGATGTGTTTAGAGGACACTGGGAAAATCCCAACAAATTTGACGAAAGAGTGTCAACTCTTACACAACATAGGGCTCTTGAAAACAAAATGGGTTACACTCAGACACGCCTCATGTTCTAATAATACACTCTTAACCAGAGCTGGGCAATAAATATATATTTGATACTTACAATATTCCCAAGGATGTGTTAGTGGTATATAAAATCAAGCAACTTTGTTGTGAATATTAATTTGTACATATTTTACAATATTATTTTGTAGTATATAATAATAATTATAATAATGCAATAATGTAAATTGAATATTGCATACATGTATTTACCTTGATTTCAAATTTAGTTCCAATGTTAAATATTTTAAATCTGTTGGCAATTGTTTGGTTAAAATAAACCACTTTTTAAACCATTTCAAAGCAAATATACATACAGTACAATTTGAGATATACTGATTATAGTCAAAATGCATCAATACATATTTGATTATATCCCCCAGCACTATTAAACACACAATCAAATCAATGCACTCACCTGATAAAACAGTCTTAACATAGCATGGATAGACGTTTAGGCATATGTGTGATTGTTAATAGCTCACAAAATACGTTAAAGGAGTCATCAGATGCGGCATGCACTCTTTTTTTCCACCCAGTGTTTTTTTTTTTTTAAATCTCGTTAAATCATTTCCCCTTTCTCAAATCAAACCATTCTCAGATGCCTGTCTGTGTGACGTCACACAGACCCAGGCCCCTCCCACGATTGTTGATTGACACTAGCTTATTACCTTAGACCCGCCCTGAGTGAGCTGTCATCAGTCCGCCATTGTTTCGATGCCAGAGCAGATGTAGACAAGAATGTCTCCGATTAAGTGATTGAGGTGTTTTGTTGGATGTAATAATGAACATAGCAGTCGTCATTTACTCCCGACATCTGAGCCGCCGAAGATGCAGATGATTACGTTTGTTTGTGAAGGGAATGCACCCCCGATCTACTTAAATGCATCTATGTTCGTACGAATCATTCGTGATCCAGCTTCACCTCCAGAAGAAGCGAGTATAAGGTTATCATTTTTAATGACAAATAAGCATATTCCCCTAAATTCTCACCACCATAATGTTTTTTTTTTATGGACATTTTACTTTCATGTTTTTTTATTTTATAATTTTATTTAAATGATTTATTCTCAATTGGGGCTTGACATTGATTTCATTCAGACTTTTTATTGTATTAAAAATATTGCAATTATAAATTAGCACACATTATTATTTTTTAATTAACATACATGGATGTCAGTTATTTTATTCTTACTGTTTTTATGGAAATTTTACTTTTTTTGTAATTCCATTTATTCCCAATTTGAATTCTCATTACTGTCATTCTGAACTTTTTATTGTATTAAAAATGTTGAAATACAAAAAAAAAAAAAAATCAGCTTACATAAACATCAGTAATGTTTTACTTTTTTTATTTTTACTGTATTCATGGACATTTTACTTATGAGCTTTTTGTAAATCCCTTTATTCTGAATGGGGATTCTCATTACTCTCATTCCGAACTTTAAAGAATGTAAGTACAATAAATCAATTTTATAACATATTACTATATATATTATTACATTACATTAAAAGAATGAATGGTAATGAAAATTCAGGGAGAAAATGTGCTCAGTATAAATAAAAGTATAATTCCTTTTTTTTTTTTAAATCTTTGTTTTTGTTTTTCCAGTGAAATTTTTATCATGAGATTCGACTTGTTGCTCCTTGTCATCAGTGACATGCCAATTTCAGTGCGATTCGCCCAACTGGAGTTCTCTCAGGCACTGGACAGCATGGTGGATGTGAAAATCTGCTGAAGGATTTGGGGGATCTGCTTGGTGTCCATGGCGACAAAAGATCGTCCGGCCGGCAGAGTCCTCTGGAGTCTGGATGTCGGAGAGAGAAAAGAGCCCCACATCAAACATTAGCAATGCAAATGAGCTTTTCCTCCCCAGTTCCTACTCCTGCCTAGGAGGGACAATGGCTGTCATTCACAGTGAGGCTGATAAGATACAGGGTCTTGGGAAAAGCCTGTTGGTTAAGAGGGGCTGAGAGCAAAGTGCCGCCCATGTCCTTTCACTTTGCTGCCGCCCCTCCTTCCTCACTAATCATTCGTGACTGTCATTTAGTCTCTTTAAAAAGAAGGCACATGGACTGCTCTTTAAATCACGGAGGCCATGAAAAGACAGTCTATATGGGACGTATCCGACCACCACGGTGGCGCCTTCCGCATGCCTTCAAGCTCTCCTTATGTGCAACTCTGTGAGTCAAGACCCACAAAATCCACCAAATAACATGAACAATGCATCAAAGAGAGCTGTACATGAGCCTATAGACTCTCGTCTTTTATTGGAGAAAGGCCGTACAAATCATACAAGCCACAGCAAAGTGATGACATAAAGGGAATGCTAATTACATTTCAAACTCTTTATGCTTTATATTGCCGCCCTGAACATTTGAGACTTTGCACTGCAATTAGCACTGAAATGGCCCTTGTTTTTTTAAAGTGAACTTTAGAAACCAACTTTCCCCGCACGGCAGTTCTGCTGAAATGCTACTTGCCGGTTCTAATCCAGGCTTAACCTTTAACCAAGCACGCTAACGTTTAACACGCGAGCTGCTGCAGGACATCAACCTCACCTGTCCGCCTGATCTCCTAGGGAACCGATGAAGATGGCGAAGGCATTGACCTGCGGGTTACTGGTGAGGGCACGTGCGAACCGGTCGGGGCTGATCCCGTAGCGCTCCAGGTTGGCGTCGCTCAGCACGATGACGAAATGCTCGTCGGCTTCTTCATGCGCCAGCTCCTTCATGGCGTGTTCGGTGCCCTCCAGCGTGTAGTCTCCGCTCATGCAGAACTGCGAGTGGGCATACATGGTCTGGGACGGTGGCGTACAGCAGAAGAAGAGGTTATAATGGATATTCAGAGGAATGAAAAGACCATATGCTAAACAGTTTGTTTTTAGTGCACTTCCTGTGGGGTGGCTTTCGCACACATAGTTCACACATGGAAGTTGATTCTGGACAACATATCAGTATTTTTGCACATGGGAAATAGAGTCAAAATAGTTGCTGGAGAATTATCTGCCTCAGTTGAGCATACTAGTTTTTTTTACCTGCTGGCTGATTAGACACATTTTAAACTTGTGAGCTAGCACACACTAGAACAGCACAGGCACACTTTTTGCAAATTGATCAGGATGTGTGGCTTTTTTATTGTGCACTTGCACAAAATTCCCTTGATCTTTTGACATATAAGAGGTCATTGTGCTATAAAAACATCTTGTAAGTTTCAGAACTCTAAACTTTCTCGTTAGTCTAAAAACAGCTTATATTGAAGCCCGTCTGCCAAAACGACAGCTTGTGGAATGTGCCACTCTATGATGTAATAGTGTGGATAAGCACCGCCTCCGCGGAAGATGATCAACGCCTGCTTCTACATCACTGCCTGTTTAGCCCCGCCCAGTAAATGAAAATAGTAGGTAAATGACAAGAGCCGAAAACGCAGGTCTACGCCGAAACCAAACAATAAACTTGATTTGAAGAACTTTATTCTTCATAAAGTTCCAGACCGCATCAGTAAGAACACAGTCCTTTGTTCACTTCATTTTACCACGGATTTGTTTTCAAACAAAGCAAAATTTGTTGCAGGATTTTCAGAAAGATTGAAACTACAAGTCGATGCTGTGCCGACTATATTGGATCTGACAGTAACAGTGTGAGTAACAGTTTTTATTACATGGTCACTACTGCTTTGTCTGTTAAACAGATCATTTGATGCGAGTATTTATGGATTTTTAACCTAAATCACAGCAGCGTCCATCTGTGAAGGACATAGACTGTCAAACACAACTGTTAACCAATCATAGCAGAGTCTTCAATCTGCCACACCTATTCAAACAGAGCGTTCTGATGAGGGGGGTTAGAAACAGGACAGAAAATAGCCCATTACTTCTAAATGATGGTTTTTGATGTAAATATTTTAAGTGGACCTCAGAGAACAGTACAAAAAAAACAACAAAGGCAATTCATGACCGCTTTAAATTATTTTTTGCATTGATGGCTGAAACCAGGGGAACTAGAATTTTGCTTTGGAAAGAAATGGGATTGTTTCGGTTTTGAAGGCCCCAATCTGGCTGCAGTCGTGCGTCAGTGAATCCCAGAGAACATCTCTGATAATTTATGCTTGACTTTCTTCCTGATGTGGTCACATAAGACAATAGGAGGAATTCTAGGAGAAACGCTGGCTACTACGTCAGCACATGTGAATTCATAAGAGCATCGACTTCAAAACAAACACGGGAAATGAGGTCACCCCTGCATTACAGAAGCATTACTGTACCTTCAAAACCTTCAGCCTCTCCTTGTTGTTCTTGGGCACTTTGTCACATCTGACCAGTTCTATGTCAAACCCGTCTCCAGAGTGCCCCATAATATCATACTACAGAGGAAAAAACAGGAAGGATTAGAAGGGTTAGACCACGCTGCTAAGAAAATAACAAGCCAAACAAAGATATGCCCAATGCATTATTAGAAGTGTACGTTAGGGTATTTTTGTCATTGTAGATTTCTGAGATGTGTCAAAAATGCACATCAAGATGAGACACATTTGTCTTGAACATGTGAGACAGGACACACAATATTGGATATAACTCTACCAAATAACTGTACAGCCGTTTCTGTCTGGAATCCATCACAAAGAAAACTCAAAGTTTGTGTAGACTTTGCAATCAGAATTTCAGAGATAAGTTTAATAAAGATTAATCCACAGACAGCATTTACTTCCAACTCACAAAACTCTTGTGATGTGATGCTTATGTAAATAAATTAAAACGACATAATCTGGATGGCAGACTCACAGAGTGGATGTTATGAGTTACACTCATGAATAGTCAAACAAAATGGGAAGTTTCATAATAATCTTTTGTCCAGCTCAACAGTGAGCGAGTGTCTTTGCCAACAGTGCAGCAGTTGATGACACTGACAATCTGCAATACATCAAATTCCATTACGTCAATGTCTTCGGCATACATTTGGCTGGTCCTATCAAGGGGACACTAGACCTCAAGCAACATGCCCATGGATGTATACTGTAAAGCAAGGTTGCAGAAGTTGATTGAAATTCCTAGATCAGATCTGTCTGGTTAACTTTACACAATATCTGGGAGTCAGAGTGGACTGGTTTTTATCTGTCTAACATATTTTCAAGGTTATTTGTCAGAAAAATCATCAGTATGGACCACACTCTATGCTGATTGTCAAAGGTTGACAACAGGAGACTAAGGGGACAATGAGTAATGTGTAACCAGTAGAGCTGAGCGGGTCAAAGGACAAATGAGAAGAATGTGTGTGATACCTGCCTTTAGATCACAGGTGGATGGAGTTATCAGATTACATACTTTTATGTAATGCAGATTATGTAAGTGTCACAGAGAAACAGATATATGACAGGCCAGCTGGAAGAGCAAACAGCTCATTTGAAAGCTAACATGGGGCCATAAAGTCTGGTGGCCCTCACACACACACACACACACACACACACACATGCACATTAACATACTTACCATCTCACATATCACTGTCACTTCATTAATCTTTGTCACCATCTATTACACTCTACAGTAACTGAGCTCTGACTCGGGCTGGGCAATATAGCTAAAATATATACGCTACTGTGCACAAAAGCAAGTATCAGTATTGGTGTCAGCAAGTATATATATATTTATTTATTTTTAAAAAGTATTATTATTTTACTAAAATGTTAAGCAGAACAACTGTTTTCAGCTCTAATGATAACAAGAAATGTTTCTTGAGCAGTAAATCAGCACATTAGAATGATTTCTGTAGGATTGTGTGACACTGAAGACTGGAGTAATGATGCTGAAAATTCAGCTTTGCAACACAGGAATAAATTACATTTTTTAAATATATTCAAATAACAAACAGTTATTTGAAATTGTAATAATATTTCACAATATTACTACAATTATTAATATTTCAATATGATTAATTTTACTGTATTTTTGATCAAACAAATGCAGCCTTGGTAAGCATAAGAAACTTTTATTTCAACCAAAGATCTAAATCAGAGATGCTAATTACAACCTCTCTCTACTTGCACTTGTTTTCAAATAAGCGTGTTAAAAATAATCACTACTATGGAGGACCAAACCTGCAGAAATAAAATAATAATAATAATAAAATAAAGAAATAAATGACCTGTTAAAAACAAATATGGTGCATTTGTAATAAAATTTGATCCTACATTTATTTTTATTACTCTTTTCCTTTGTATTTTTTTTCTGTATTTATTTTTACATTTATTTTTATTCTATTTTTAACTTTTATTGGTTTGGTCCTCCATACACTACTGGTTTGTTTTTCAGGGTCAAAAATTTATATTATATATTTAAGCAATATCGATATGCATGCAATGCACTGCCCTGTGATAGAGTGATAGAAAGAGTGAAACGTTTCAGTGGCGTTGGTAGCCAAATTCCTGCACCGGATCCAGCTGTTTTATAAATATAACACAATCTATATTTATATCGTCCAGCCTCAGATCTGACCCCACACATTGAAAGTGTTGATGCACATTAGAGCAGAGCGGGATAATGTGAGCCATTGACAGCCGCAGCTGCATATCTTCCGCTGTCTTCCTCCCCCAAACTCCCCGGGATGGAGATAACAGATCATCTTTTGTGCGGCCCCTACAAATCTGCGAGCAGCTCCCAACAAGAGCCATGATTCACTGCCTCCAGAGCATCTGCCAGCAGCTCAGACGGACAGAGACGGAGAGATGCAGGCAGGAAAAAGAGGAACATCAAGTGAAAGAGAGACAGATGCATCCCAGAGAACTGCTAACCACTAATCAACCTAAATCTGCACGACTGTCTCCATGGCAAACGATACCTTACTTCATTTTTATTTCCAATGGCAACCTCCATAACAGTGTGTCAGCATGTGTGGTGGGGACATCCCTATTACTCATCAGATCATCCTTTGAGGACGTCAACAGAAGGGCTGTTTCCATGGTTTGTTGCCTGGAGATGGTTTATTGTAAACAGATTTAGCTATTTTTATTGAGTTTGTGGTGAGAAGATTTCGATAGATCAACATGTACTGACTATATTTGAACTCTGTGGTCAATTTAAGATGATGGCAATCAAAATGAGATTGACCGAGCAGAGGCGTGAATTCATTTCAAATGAAAGGCTCTGTCCCAAAATCTAGTGAGCCACCTTGCTGTCTAAATAGTCTAGGCAGCAATTTCATTCAAATGGAATCATAAATGACTAAGCTGGTAAACTGGTGTTGGTTAGTTTAAACCAGTCTTCGAGCCTGAATAGCTGAAAAGTGCCTAAAATCTTTCTAACATCAGTAAATTAATAAAAAAAAATATTTTTTGGCAGGGATGTTGCAAAGTTATGACGGCGTCTTACTGCCATGTTAAAAAATAACAAAAATATAAGATTACTAGATTAAAGTCATAATATTTTGAGAAAAAAGTCAAATTTACGCAAATAAAGTCAAAATGTTTTGAGAAAAAAAGTCAAAATTATGAGAATAAAGTCGCAGCAATACGAGAATAAAATCAAAATCACGAGAATAAAGTCATAGCAATGAGAATAAAGTTGAAATATTTTGAGAAGTCAATATTTTGAGAATAAAGTCAAAATTACGAGAATAAAGTCAAAATATTTAGAGAAAAAAAGTCAAAATGATGAGAATAAAGACATAGCAATGAGAATAGTCAAAATATTTTGAGAATAGTCAAAATGACGAGATTTAAGTCGTAATATTTTGAGAAAAAAAGTCAAAATTACGAGAATAAAGTCAAAATATTTTGAGAAAAAGTCAAAATTACGAGAATAAAGTCGTAGTAATATGAGAATAAAGTCAAAATATTTTGAGAATAAAGTCAAAATTACGAGAATAAAGTCATAGCAATTACGAGTTTAAAGTTATAGGAGAGTATAGCCTAATTTGGGCATGCAAATGGCTCAGATTGGGAGCACTGGGAGAAATTCCAGGGGCCTGACAACTGATTTGAATATATGTGGGATTATTAGCAGAAATCATACCATGCGTCATACTCACAGGGATAGTATGCTTGGAAATAATATTTCATACCTTCGAATGCATTCATTATTTGTAGTGCGCCAGCCACCCAACAATAAGCAATAAGCTTTGTGCTTTTGGTACTTTTAATATAAAACAAAGTCTCAGCTTTCAGATACAGTCAGTTTTATAGTGAAATACAAACAACATGTCTTACAATAATGTGTCACGCTCTTTAATGAAGCGTGACAGAACACTGTATTCGCCTCAGTTCAAGCGGCATGTGTATCAATCATCTTTTTTATTTTGCAACTTAATTCTCCAAAATTTGACTTTATTCTCAAAATATTTCCACTTTAATCTCGTAATCTTAGACTTGTTTTATTTTTTAGTGTGGCACTAAAACGCTGTTGCACAAAGCTAATAATAGTAACTCTAAAAAGCACAAAATAAATCACATGCATTAATACTGAATAAAATAATAGTTTATTTGGATTAAATTTTTTACACTTTTTTTTTTTTAGCAATGCATTAAATTGATTATAAAGTTACAAGATTTGTATTTCAAATAAATGCTGTTCTTTTCCACTTTCTATTAATCAAAGAATCCTGAATAAATCTATCATGGTTTGTTCAACAATATTATGCAGCACAACTATTTTTTAACATTGATATTAATAAATGTTTTTTGAACAGCAAATCAGCATATTAGAATGATTTCTGAAGGATCATGTGACACTGAAGACTGGAGTAATGATGCTGAAAATTCAGCTTTACATCACAGAAATAAATTACAACGTAAAATATATTCAAATAGAAAATAGCTATTTTAAATCATAATAATCTTTCACAATATTTAAATTTTTTTATTGTATCAAATCAATGCAATCTTGGTGAATATTAGACACTCCTTTCAAAAGCATTACAAAATCATACTGACCCCAAACTTTTGAAGAGTAGTGTACATTTACAACCACTTGTGATAAATTTGTCCACCACCTTGGATGGATTTTTTTCTCTTAAGTCAGAAAAATGCATTATGGGTTTGCCTTCTGCATGAAGGAAAAATGTCATGGAAGCTTAGAATTTGCTCAGAAGAAAGAATCGAAAATAACAAACTTCCATCTACTTTGGAATGGTCTTAAAATGGGTCTTGGAACAAAGCTGATGACTGATTGTCAAATCTCACCTTAAACTTGTGCTCGTAGCTCTCAAGAGCCTCCATCACCATACACACAGCTTCCATGGAGCGCTCCAGACGGCCGTCCACGCCATTAAAGCGATACATGCTGCCAGAGACGTCCGCTAGCAAACGTAAACGCTTCGGCTTCTGCTGAGGAGACCCCAACTGCAGCCAGACCACAGGAAAAACACATAAGTCCTCCACACGTCCAGACCAGACAAATATTTAATTAGGAAAATCGTTTAATACAGTTTCTATGTGGTTGCTTTAATTGCAGCGTTCTATTTAGCCAGACTCCTCTTCTGAAGGGCTTTATGGTCAGTGAGGTTTTTAATGGATTATACAGGAGCTACATAATATATTGAAGTTATTAAAATCGATTTAGAAAGCAGATTTTAAATGAGGGCTTATGGGAAACTGTAAATATTATGTGACATTCTTGCTGTGACTGTCTGCTAAACTAGCATTCACAATTACCAGTAGAAGAAACAATATGAATAGAAGGAAGAACATTGTTAGTCAAACATCAGGAAATCTAATAAATAATAATGCTACAACTTAAATTTATAGGGTATGGCAGTGGCGGGTTTGGGGGGAGGGGGCACAACACTAAGCACTGAAGATAGAAAGGGAATTTTGTTTTTATTTCAATAATTAAACACTACGTCGTCAGCTGGTATTGTAGCTTTATCAGACACTTGCACTTAACATTTTATGAAAATCAAGCTCAAATGGAGTTGTTTTATGACCAGCGAATGACGGAGATCTGTGTTTTGTCTGTCATTAGAATGGCTGTATCTGAGGCAGAAAGTGCATCGCATTATACGCTTTCATCAACTTACAGGTTATAACTTTTATTGTAGCTATAAGGGCGCTTAGTTTTTCTTGTCATTTAATACACTTGGCCATAATCCCATGATATAAACGATGAAGCGCTATATGCACAGGATATTTAAAACGTATATTGGCTACAACTAGATGGCAAAAGATTCTTCTCCACTCTTCAAACACACAAAAAACATTCGCCTTTACAGACATAGTGTTTGAGTAAAGAAAACGCTGTACTTATTCAAACATCAGTTATGTACCCTTGCATTGCGAACAATCGGAGGTCTGTCTCCAGGCTGTGTGCGGCGCATCATTCTGAATGGATGCTGGGTGAAGTTACGAGGTTTCGCTCACAGTTTGAGAATCCAATGGCGTTATACGAGGTTTAGTGACAAGCTCTTTTGAATACTTTTCATTAGTTAAATATTTGTAAAACCCTCAAACAGACACAAGGAAGAATAATAGTACTGATTTAAAATAATAATAACGTAATATAATAGAGATATGAAGTTTTGATAATTTTCCACGGCACACCTGACTGGGCTAGGGTATGGCGACTGCCGCCCCTGGCGTTCTTTCTCCTGCCCCCTCCTTCGAGGACTCTTCAAGCAGGTTGCCAGATTGAGGACACACAACATGAGCCTTATAATGTAAGTTGATTTATCTGTCTTTTAATATGCCTCTGGTTATAGATTATAGCTTTTTAGATGGGCTAGAATCTGCGATCTTTGACTCAGTTCATTTGCTGGCTTCCATGGCTGCAAAACGCTTGTTTTCCGCCAACTGGCAACCTGGAGTGTCAAAATGCTATTGGGCAAACTGTCAGAGGGCAGAATCACGCAGACCAAAACAAAAACAGACATGCCGACATGGAACGCACATTTCAAAGCAGAATAACTGCTTTTTTTCGGAGAAAAACTTTGCATGTTTATTTAAATATCTGCAAACATAAGGTATTTTTACGCTTTAGTACAGTCAAAAAATGACACAGCACCTTTAAACAAAACAAAAAAAAACTATGCATGGATGCAAAGATTTTTTTTTTCATTTAGTTTAACTTGATGTGCTAAACTAAAATTAAAAAACTAATAAAAATGACAAAAATAATACCAATTTTTAATTGTCAAAAGTTAAACTTTACAATTAAAATGAAAAAGTACAATCTAAAAATATATATTTTTTTTTTAATAAACGTTAATGATTCTAAAATAACACTTCATGGATGAATCATTCAAAGTAAGATCAGTAACATCAATAAAACAGATAGGGTGAATTTTCATTTCATGCCAACTTGGTTATTTAACCTAACCATGGTTATTTACTGAAAATGAGAGAATGTGTATTCATGTGTGTTTGTATTTGTTCTATGTGATGAATATTGAGTGAATATGAGCTCTCACCTCTGGCTCCAGCTCTCCTCTGCGTTTATAAATGGCTTTCTCTCCTGTCAGGCCGTCAATGATCTTAGCATCGTCTAGCTCACCCAGAGCCTGATTCCTCAGCCACTGCCTCTCCTTCCCTTTAGCCTGAAAACAAACACCATTTACATCTTCTACTACTTCAAAAAAGCTCATTCAAATTGTTTTCCTGTTATAAGCATATACAGAACAAAGTTTTGAGAGGCTCAACACTAGCACTATGAAATATTATAAAAAATAATACAAATACAAGTTCTATAATAAAATAGAACAATATGTAAATAAATAAAATGAACAATACATTTGTATTTATTAATCTATGTACAAATTAGTTAATAAAAATACAACTATTTATTGTTAGTTCATTGTAGCTCAAGTCCATGAAATAATTTTAAGAGATAGAACTTTTGATTTTAATAATGTATTAGTAAATGTTGAAATTAACATGAACTAAGATTACTTAAAGTATTTTTCAACTAATGTAGGTAACCAATGTTAACAAACGGAACCTTATAGATAAAGTGCTACTGCACAATGCAAGTAATATACAAAATATAAAAATTTTTCAAACTGAATTGTGAGCTAGCATGCATATCTCAGTCATGACCACGACCCCCAGCGGGTCCTTGACCTCCTCGGCTTCAATCATGGATCCAAATATCAACAAACATAAAAATGACAAAAATAATACCAATTTTTAATTGTCAAAAGTTAAACTTTACAATTAAAATGAAAAAGTACAATCTAAAAATATATATTTTTTTTTTAATAAACGTTAATGATTCTAAAATAACACTTCATGGATGAATCATTCAAAGTAAGATCAGTAACATCAATAAAACAGATAGGGTGAATTTTCATTTCATGCCAACTTGGTTATTTAACCTAACCATGGTTATTTACTGAAAATGAGAGAATGTGTATTCATGTGTGTTTGTATTTGTTCTATGTGATGAATATTGAGTGAATATGAGCTCTCACCTCTGGCTCCAGCTCTCCTCTGCGTTTATAAATGGCTTTCTCTCCTGTCAGGCCGTCAATGATCTTAGCATCGTCTAGCTCACCCAGAGCCTGATTCCTCAGCCACTGCCTCTCCTTCCCTTTAGCCTGAAAACAAACACCATTTACATCTTCTACTACTTCAAAAAAGCTCATTCAAATTGTTTTCCTGTTATAAGCATATACAGAACAAAGTTTTGAGAGGCTCAACACTAGCACTATGAAATATTATAAAAAATAATACAAATACAAGTTCTATAATAAAATAGAACAATATGTAAATAAATAAAATGAACAATACATTTGTATTTATTAATCTATGTACAAATTAGTTAATAAAAATACAACTATTTATTGTTAGTTCATTGTAGCTCAAGTCCATGAAATAATTTTAAGAGATAGAACTTTTGATTTTAATAATGTATTAGTAAATGTTGAAATTAACATGAACTAAGATTACTTAAAGTATTTTTCAACTAATGTAGGTAACCAATGTTAACAAACGGAACCTTATAGATAAAGTGCTACTGCACAATGCAAGTAATATACAAAATATAAAAATTTTTCAAACTGAATTGTGAGCTAGCATGCATATCTCAGTCATGACCACGACCCCCAGCGGGTCCTTGACCTCCTCGGCTTCAATCATGGATCCAAATATCAACAAACACCCATAGAAGCACTTCCACATGTTGCTGTCATTATATGAGCGAGCATGTCAGATCTCCATGAAGAACAATGAACACGTCACTGCTCATCACACACACACACACACACACACACACAAACGTGAACACAAGCATGTACATAGACAGCCATGTGAGCACACACAGATCCAGACGCAGTCACAGACATACACACGTCTTACACCCATTATTATTATGCAGGTAGTAAGGAAAGTATATGCTCTTGCAAAAGTTTCAGACAGAAGTGTGAAGTAATAAAGAGTCATGAGCTGAAGAAACAGTGAATGGATGAGATCATCTGCTCTATTCTGAGTCACATCTCAAGTCTGTGCGAGAAAGAGCTCTAATGCTCCATTTCCACACAAATGCGGCCATTACTTAAACGGATTTCAGACCTGAATGATGACAGAACTGACTATGTTACAGCATAACCTGTCCACAAACAAACACAGCACACCAGGGCTTTTATTTATGACACACATTTTTGTCAGTCCAACCTTTTTGACCTAAAATATATTAACTTGACATACCACTGAGATTTTAAGTTAATATATAATAATTCAACAACAACAACATTAACCAGCAGTCAGGTAAATAATATTTTTTAGTAAGTGTTTTATATTGCTTTTTTTTATTTTATTAAATTGTTTCAATTTTATGTTTTTGTGATTTAATTAATTATTGGCATTTCTTAACATCCTTCATTGTTAACATTTCTTAACCTCAATTCACTTACCTCCTGCAGTTTCTTCTCAAAGTTTGACAATTACTTTCATGTTATAACCAATAACTATAATGTTTGATATTAAAATGATCTGAAACTAAAAAATAAAGCACAAACTTCAATCAAAAATCAATCCGTTTCAATCTAAATGTAAAAATAGTGGAAATGAGCATGCACAATTAGCTTCTCAAAATCTGCAAATATGGTAGTGGTTATATTGTGCATTCCTTGTTTTAATCTGAACTAAACACTTTTTTGTTTTATTTTTGCAAACTACTGAAAAACACCTAACTCCAGGTATAACATTGTAAACAATGCTTTGTAAACGGCATTAATAGTCCTCAAGCTAATATAACCGCATGCGTCTCAGCAGAGTCCCTATGAGTGCATATATACACTACAGCACGAGCTGCTGCAAACACGAATATGTCAGCTAGGTGTGTGAACGTTCGGGAGAGTCAGCTGTGGAAAAATATGCCATGATGAGCAGTGATTACAGAGTAAAGGCACGGCTACAAATGTGCTGTTTTGCTCTCTTTTTACAGCTTTAATATACATTCCTTTGAAGACGGAGGAGCTGTTTTTGTTTTTCTGTGCTTCTTTGTTCACCATACATTCAAAAGTTTAGACAAACTTGACAAAATTTATATTTCTCATTATCTTAGAGTGCCCCTATTATGGATTTTTGAAAATTACCTTTAATGCAGTATGTAACAGCTCTAAGTGAATGAAAACATCCTGCAAAGTTTTAAATCTGAAAGTGCACCGTGTATAAAGTTATTGTCTCTTAAAGAAAGAGTCGACTCTGAATCATTGAAACGAGTCGTTTTAAAAACGAATCCCAAGCCGTTTCATCTTGACGTCAACATGAAACATTAGCATATTGCCCGCCCACTTGTTGGTCTTTTCGCGTTGGTCTGAATGAAAATGCAAATTCATTCTTTGCCACTAGGTGCCGCTTTTAGGTGTTTAAAGCTGCCTTAAAACTGTGCATGTAAGTATTTATTATTTATGAGTCACATTTAAAGCAGTGTCAGATCTGCGTCAAGTTCAGCAGCGGCAGCTCTTAAAGTTGCAGCAAAAAAATCCTAATATCCAGCTGCTGTCATGTCTGTTAATCAAAGAACAAAATTAAAAAGAGGAAATCGATAGCTTCTGTCTTTATTAAACGATTGCATCTTTATTTAATTTAGAATTGAGTGTTTGATAACTTTATTAAATTAGGCTATACTTTCTTGCTGAAGGGCACAGGTAGCTATATATGACATTTATTATAATGGGTTTATGTGAAGATGGTTTTAAGTTCACTTAAATTAAAAGTCTAATAAATGTTAAATGGATAGCTCTTAATTATACTGTAATGTTGAATGGCCATAGTCAATGGTTAAACGTTAAGAAAAAAATTCATAGAGACATCAGTTGGTATCAGTGATACTTGCCTTCAGTCATAAAAAAGAAGGCATTAAACAAATATTAAAAAATACTTTGTTGTTTCTACATTAATTTGAAGATTGAATGTGAAATTATTGCAATATAAAAGTATAATTAAAAACTTTAATGTTTAATTAATTTCAGAAAAATTGTGCTATTAATTTTTTTAATCAATTGACAGCACTAATATATATATATATATATATACATATAAATAATATATTTATTCAGCAAGGACTTCTGAAAAAAGTATTACCATTAACGTTACCACAAAAATATTGAGTATATATAGCATATGTGTTTTCAACATTTATAATATGAAAAGTTTCTTGAGCAGCAAATCAGCATATTAGAAAGATTTTTGAAGGATCATGTGACACTGAAGTCTGGAGTAACGATGTTGAAAATTCAGCTTTACCATCACAGAAATAAATTACATTTTAAAATATACTGTATTCAAATATAAAAGAGTTATTTTATATTGTTAAATTTCACAGTTTTTACTGCACTTTTGGTCATATAAATGCAGCCTTGGTAAGGCACAAGAGGCTTCTTTCAAAACCATTAAAATCTTGCCGAACCTTGCAATATAAAAGTATAATTAAAAACTTTAATGTTTAATTAATTTCAGAAAAATTGTGCTATTAATTTTTTTAATCAATTGACAGCACTAATATATATATATATATATATATTTAAAATTTAATATAAATATATTGCATTTTTTAAATAATGTATCATCATATAAATAATATATTTATTCAGCAAGGACTTCTGAAAAAAGTATTACCATTAACGTTACCACAAAAATATTGAGTATATATAGCATATGTGTTTTCAACATTTATAATATGAAAAGTTTCTTGAGCAGCAAATCAGCATATTAGAAAGATTTTTGAAGGATCATGTGACACTGAAGTCTGGAGTAACGATGTTGAAAATTCAGCTTTACCATCACAGAAATAAATTACATTTTAAAATATACTGTATTCAAATATAAAAGAGTTATTTTATATTGTTAAATTTCACAGTTTTTACTGCACTTTTGGTCATATAAATGCAGCCTTGGTAAGGCACAAGAGGCTTCTTTCAAAACCATTAAAATCTTGCCGAACCCAAATTTTGAATGATATTGTAAGCCTTATCATAATGCAATTAAACTGATAAGTAAATACGTTTATCTAAATTTCACTAACAAGTTTTTGGTGGGTCTTGAGATAAATAAAAACCTCTCTAGGTGAGTCCTAGTATGAACATGTTTGGGAATCGCTGGACACTTCTGAAGCGGGACTACTAGAGGCGTTTACCTGCAGACTATCCAGAATGATGCGGAGCGACTGGACCTGTCGTCTGACCGCTCCTGAGAAACGCTCGTACGTGCTGGCATCATACTCACTCATCTCAATTTCCTTGAGCCTGAAATAAAAACATGACACTTCAGTCATACAAACACAATCTGCAGTGTTTACAATGACTAACTGTACAGAGTAAAGCACCAGTATTATTACTGCTCGTGTGAGATTTGAACAAACCTCTGACCATAAATATTAAACTTTAGTGTGTGCCAATCTGTTTATTACATACATGAATAATTTTTCAAAATCATGTCTTATTAAGCAACCACTTAGCAGCCACCCTAGTTAGCTCACATTTATATTCTTCTAGCATCTTGTCTGTGAGTTTTGTACAGATAAGAGTTCCTAACATTTTCTTCAGAAAATCTCTATTCATTTAGATTCTTTCCCTGAGGCGTTTAAACTTGTGAACAATGTGTAGTAAGTCTTTAAGGAGTGTTCTGGGGCAGGAGGATTTCAGAGGACATTGATCAACACAGGTTCTGTTTAGTTACACATTAAGTACAGCTGTCAAGATAGAGAATAACGCACACTTGAGAGTAGGAGATGTAGGATAAACATTTCTCTTGGGGCAAGTCCCTACAGCTCCACGACCAGCACCCACACACACACACACACACATTCAGGTGCTCAAAGCCCTGTCAGACTCATCAGTGTGGGGTTAAGAGCTCTGCCGGGTCACTAGTCACCCACGAGGATTTCTGCACCAATGTCAAGAGAACATGTCCAATTCACAATTCAATAAAAATAAAGAAATAATAAAGAAACCAAAGTTTCAGTGGTTCTCAAACCTTTTGACTTGAAGGCCCCTAGCCCCAACATAATATTTGAAAGACCCCCACTCTACCCCCATTTGAGACAAGATACCTTTGATGAAGCCTAATATTAAAAAAGTTAAGATATTTTTTGTAATTATGACAAAATGCATTTTATTTTAGATTCTGATATTTATTTTTTTAAATTTTAATATTAATAATAATTTATGAATTGAACTACTATTAAGTCAGAGTTGGCCCTGGCCCTCTGGTTGAGAAGGACCTTTTTTTAAATAAAATTATATATGATTATTTTGCATGATATATGAACACGATATGAGAATTTTTTTACAAATATCTAAATATATATATATATATATGTGTGTATATATATCCTACATACACACACGTAGTAGTACAGAAGCAAATTACAAACCATGAGACAAATACAATAGATACACATTAAATAAACTTGTTTTTCTAATACAGTGGGTTTAACATGTATACTTTAACATATTTTGTTGTTTGTTTAACAGTAATGAGACAGACAGGTATTTAATTAGGCTGCTGTCCCTTTAAGACCGAATGAATCATGTAATACACTGACACATATCCGGTTTTCACCCACCTGTTTACGTTCACACAAGCCATAACGAATGTATTTACGTGAGATACTCCACACGATGGACATTTTGACAGCTGTGTGTGTATTTGACAATTGCGCAAAGAGAACTGATCGCAGAACTGGGATCTCGAGGCCGAGAGAGCGCTCCTGTGTGTCTGTCATTCAGCGTGATTCCGCCTATCTATCCTGCCTTCACTTGCTGCATGTTAATCGATAACGAATTGTGATTGGATGTTAATTTTGTTCGACAAGCTTAGTTACCTTTGATTAGGCTGTTCTCGGGTGACAGAACACTTCTACTACTCGCTCTGATCACCCAGTCGTAAAGAAATTTTTAAATACTGGACAAAACATGATTTTTTCAAAATAAGTCGGGACACTAAAAATAGAGCTGAAATACGGGACTGTCCCGGTGTAGTGCCGAATTCTGACCCCAGCCAGATTATTACTCTTAAAAATAAAGGTGCTTCACGATGCCATAGAAGAACCTTTTTGTCTAAATGGTTCCATAAAGAGCCTTTAACATCTGAAGAACCTTTCTGTTTCACAAAAGCTTCTTTGTGGCGAAAGAAGGTTCTTCAGATTATGAAAGGTAAGAAAGAGATGGTTCTTTAAAGAACCTTTGACTGAATGGTTCTTTGTGGAACCAAAAATGGTTCTTCTATGGCATCGCTTGAAGAACCTTTTGAAGCACCTTTATTTTTAAGAGTGTACCCCCTAGTATTGGTAGGTTTAGAGTTAGGTGTGGGGGAGGGGTTAGGATTAGGCAATCAGGTAGCGATTTCAACTAGGGGTGTAATAATACATTTGATTATTTTATTGTTTTGTCTTAAGGTGAAATTTGTAATCTGTGCCAGAACTGCAAATACAATGACTGTTTTCAAATAGGTTTCCTTAAAAATCCATCTGTCACCAACTGGTTGGCAAAGCTAATAGTACCATCAAACCAAACCTTACGGACTGGCTAAGCCAGCGCTGCTATGTCAAACCTTACAAACATTTTATTTTTCATTTATTTGTATTTATTTTGTGGTGAAATCTGGCCCGTTGGACCATGTTCCTGACAGGTTTTGTGAGACTCCCTCAGTCATTTCATGGACAGGGGTGGGTTCTGCCGCACAGGTGGGGTAAAGCCAATAATCCCTAAAAGGATTCTACAGTTAATCCTGCTCTTCTGCTCAGACCCAGGATGTGCCTGCATGAATGTGTGTGTGCGTTAGAGAGATGCGTTTGATGTCATGAGTAGGAAACAGAGTGTGAAGAGCGTCTAGACCCTAGCGGCCCACAGAGCTCAGGTGCGCTCACACACCGACACTATCAGGCGTGAGATCAGACCAGACAGCGTGATCTGAAGCCCTATCTCAAAATACCGTGAACACTGTGTTTTCTTTCAAAAGAAATCATCCCTCACCTCTCCATCAGCACCTGGAGCAAAAATGTCACAGAAGTGATTATTTCTGTGCTACAAAAGATAATGCAACACGTAAGGAGCGCTCTCTTCTCGCTCGTGGTATTATCGCTCTCCTTCTTCCTGCTGTGCTTCTCTTTCTCACACACGCACAAGCTGTGAGTTTCCTGTCTGGCCTCTGAAGCTCACATTCTTTGCACAGGGTTATTAGAGAGAGGACAGACTGCTGCTGCTATTTTCTCCTGAATTCCAAACCTGTCCACAGAGCCGAGAGAGAGAGAGCTGGCCAGCATTGCCCTGCGGCCAGTGAGAGTGAAAAAGTGCTCTGCTTCACTTGATTCACTAACACATTGCTACACTTTCACAACACAAGAAAAAGCTCAGAAAAAGTTACTCAACATGGTCATTTTCATGAATGGAGAGCAAGTATAACACTGCCCTTATCATGCCACATTTATTTCATTATAAACTACCCTTCAGAAGTTAGTGGTGAATAAGAATTTCAAATGAATTAATGCTTTCATTCAGCAAGGATGCATTAAATTGGTCAAAAGTGTCAGTAAAAACATTTATGATGTTATAAAAGTAACACCCTTTTATTCATTATTCATATACTATCCCGAAAAACAAATTTTTTATGGTTTCAACAAAAATATGAAGCAGCAGAACTGTTTTCAACACTGATAATAATAAATGTATCCTTGAGCAGCAAAGCAGCATATTAGAGTGATTTCTGAAGGGTCATGTGACAAATTATATTTTAAAATATATTCAAATAGAAAACTTTTAAACTGTAGTTTTGATCAAATAAATGCAGCCTCATTGAGCCTTCTTTCAAAAATGTTATAAAACATTACTGACCCCAAACTCTGCTGCTCATCTATTAAATAATAAATTCAGCTTTATTCATACAGTAGTTCAGCAAAATTGAAAGATTATCTTTTACAAAGTAACGTTGCTGGGGTGCAACACATACTTGCAAAAAAGGTAGATAAAGTTCCTCTTCCTGTGGAAACCCCTGACACAAGCCATGTCAGCTGAGATTGAAATATTGTGAACGTGACAGAGAGCATGCAGATCACAACAATGTGCAGCACAAAGAATTGAACAGCACTACAAACAAACATCCACCCATCCTGCTATGCGTTTCATACCCCCGTCTTAATACTATGCATAGAAAAGAACACACAATTTGTAAAGAAGGATAGCATAATAATTTCATTACTTTGGTGGTATTATATATAATATTTTAGGACATTACATTGTTTTAATTGCTAATGTTGGTATTTTGCAATATGCCCTCAGTTAACAAGACATTCCCTAAATGATATCATCCTCCAGGATGTGACATTATTTTAGTGCACAAACATCAGAGGTATTAGTTATGGATTTGATGAAAGTTTGCAATAGCTGCATTTTAAAAGTTTGTTAAAACAAGTTAGAATTCTGTGTCAAGTCATAACTAAAGTTTAAGTGCCTGATCTGGATCTGAGCATATTTCTGAGAGTCTGCCATACTCTTCTATAAAAATATAATCTTTAAATTACTGAACAAGTATATTGATTTGTTAAGGTTTCAGAGATGAAGCGGTCCTGCAAGATAGGTATGGTAAGATGGTGTTCAGTGGCTACATAAAAAAAATGCTTGTCTATATCGCGGTTCTGCTCAAATACTCTTCCCCACAGAACACACTGAGCTGCATTCCTCTGCTTCAGCCTCTGATGCTTAAGACAAAGACAAGCTTTGATTTTCTCACTAAATTTAATTTCAATGGTGACACACAGCAGCCTTAAAAGGGGCCATATTCTGCACTTACCTACACCGTAAAAAACCCCCCCCCGGAAAATTTCTCCATCAGCACCTGGAGCAAAAATGTCACAGAAGTTATTATTTCTGTGCTACAAAAGATAATGCAACACGTAAGGAGCGCTCTCTTCTCGCTCGTGGTATTATCGCTCTCCTTCTTCCTGCTGTGCTTCTCTTTCTCACACACGCACAAGCTGTGGGTTTCCTGTCTGGCCTCTGAAGCTCACATTCTTTGCACAGGGTTATTAGAGAGAGGACAGACTGCTGCTGCTATTTTCTCCTGAATTCCAAACCTGTCCACAGAGCCGAGAGAGAGAGAGCTGGCCAGCATTGCCCTGCGGCCAGTGAGAGTGAAAAAGTGCTCTGCTTCACTTGATTCACTAACACATTGCTACACTTTCACAACACAAGAAAAAGCTCAGAAAAAGTTACTCAACATGGTCATTTTCATGAATGGAGAGCAAGTA